AAAAAGGAAAAACTATCACAAATTACAGAAAAAAAAGGTTCCCCACCCCTGTTCTAAAGGCTTATAAACTTTTTAAAGTGTTACCCAGAATGTCTAATTTTGCTCAGAAAAAGGAAAACTATCACAAATTCGACATCCTTGGAAATACCATCTGTTTACAAAAATAAAAAACAAAAAAACTCTAGAGCAGCGGTTGCCAACCAGTGGTCCATGGACCACTGGTGGTCCGTGAGGTCCGAAAGGTTGGCGACCGCTGTTCTAGAGTAAATGTTAACTTAATGGAAACTGAAGGAGAACCTGTTTCCTTTGAGTCAAAGGAATTTATTTAACCTAAATACCCACTCTTGTTGTAACAGTGATTTTTGTCCAAATATGTTCGTACATCTTCATGAACAGATGTATCGGTCACCAGGCCTGAAACACAGCACTCCGAACTACGACAAGCATTAGCACAATGAATATTATCTGAGGACGTCACATTGACAACCTGGCACTGGGAAATGGTGGCCAACAAGGCAGTCTCTACCCCTACACTTACGGCCTAATAAAGGACACTGATAATAAACATATAAAGGAACAAATCATTATGAACGGTGATAAGAGCTGTGAAGGAAGCAAAGGGCTGGGGACAGCACCTAATTAACAGGTGAAGCCGAATGAGATTTCACACTACAACAGTCAGCAGGTCCAGTTTCGTCCTAACAGTTAAAACCACCAGCTCAGAATACTTCCTGTGCCGGTACCGAGCTTCAGTTCTTCACATGAGTTACTTCCTTTAATCATCATAACAGCTCTATAAACTAAGTATTACTTTTATTATCCTCTGTTTTTATAGTTTAAGAAACGGAGGTTTAGAGAAACCAACTTGATTGGATCAGAACCTGTAGCGGAGCTGGGACACAGATCCAGGTCTCCGCTAAAGCCCATTTCTTACCACTATGTTAAACTCCCAGGACAGATGAGGACTACCTGGAACAACTCTTAATGTCTTATTTATACATTTTTTTCTTATTATAAAAAAACAATATAGTCTCTTTTTCAAAAAATAGAAAATGCAGTTAAATAAGCAAGAGGAAAAATGTAAAAGATCCCTGAATCCACCAGAGAGAACCCCCATTTACCCTTTGGCACATTCCCTTTTCACTCTTTTTTTAAATAGGAAAGATTCTTTTCTATGAATATATATGTACTAGAGGCCCGATACACAAAATTCGTGCAAGAGTAGGCCTTCCCTCCCCTGGCTGCCAGCACCAGCTTCCCTCTGGCACCTGGGACCCGGGCTTCCCTCACAGCCCCAGCTTCATCCAGCAGGTCGTCCGGAAGGATGTCCAGTCTAATTAGCATATCATGCTTTTATTATTACAGATTATATTTAAAATCATGTCAGAATATACATATTTTTATATTTTCTTTTTCATATAAAGGTAAAAGATGAGTAGCAATTCATCCTATTTAAATAACCCCCGCTTGTTAGATAATCTAGCAGGGTCTGTTATTATGTAACAACTAAAGGCCCGGTGCACGAATTTGTGCATGGGTGGGGTCTGGCTGGCTTGCCCTGATTGGCCGATCGGGCCGATCCAGCCAGGGGGAGGGGACGCAGGTGGTTGATGGGCCGGCCCTGCCCCCTGGTCAAACTCCCGAACTCCCGGTCAAGGGGACAATTTGCATATTAGCCTTTTATTATATAGGATGCCATGATGATCATTTTGTAATCTTAATTATTTCCTGAGAATAAATTCCTGGAAATAGAAACACTGGGAAAAATGAAAGGCATATTCTTAAGGCATTAGCTAAACATTATCAAATTGATTACAACACTCTACATACACAAGAAATTAAAATCATTTCTACCTCACTCTCAACAACCATGAGTATTTCCATTTCTTTTTGGTGTTGAGAAATTGATGATTAACACATTCTATTCATATCGCTTTATTAATGAGTTGCTATATTTGCTCACATGCTGTCTACTGGATTTTCTCTTTAATGAAATACTCATGTTCTTTTCCCATTTTTCTCTGAAAGACTATGTTATATAGCTACTTATGCTTTGTCAGTAATATCCATGACAAAAAGGTTCCCGTTTGTCATTTATCTTTTGACTTTATGGTGGTTTTGGACATAAAAATTTTTAATTCTTTGTAGCCAAATTATGATTTATGCCAAGATTAAAGAGGCCTATCTCTTCTCATAATAAATAAAGTTCCCTGTTCCAGCACTGCATGGCTTTGTATTTGTAATGTTAAAATTTTAATTTATACAAATATTGGTAGATGGAATCAGTAAGGATCTAACTTTATTTTCCCGGTGGTTAATCTTTCCCTCAGATGCTCATTTATGTTAGACTAGTTTCTAAACTCCGTAATATCTTCCATACAACACTAACGTACTATAGTTTTATGTTTGACCCATACCACTCTTTTTTAAAATGAACCACTTACTCGTCCAGGTAACCATTAGGATAATTTTGCCAGGCCAGTCTTCCCCAACAAAAACATGTGATTTCTGATACACTAGTTAGTTTGGAAAGACACTGTCTGCGTTGAGTCGAAGGTCTCCAGTTCTTTATAAAGGTGCTATACTGTACATTTCTTATAGGATTTAGTCCCATTACTTTGTTATATATTACTATTTTTAAAAAATATATTTGTATTGATTTCAGAGAGGAAGGGAGGGGGAGAAAGACAGAAATATCAATGATGAGAGAAAATTATAGATCGGTTGCCTCCTGCACACCCCCTACTGGGGATCGAGCCTGTAACCAGGGCATGTGCCCTGACCAGGAATCGAACCATGATCTCCTGGTTCGTAGGTCAACACTCAACCACTAGGCCACATCAGCCAGGCATTTGTTACTATTTTAAATGGAATCTGTTTTTACTTAATATTGTAACTGAAAATGTAAACATTTTAAAATTTTTTATTGTGGCAAAATATATAACAAAATATACCATCTTAACCATTTTACTGGTAAGTGTAGGATTCAGTGGCATTAAGTACATTCACATTGTTGTGAACCAAATCAACCATCCATAACTGAATTTTGATGACATATAGAAACATCATTGGTTTCTACATGCGTATTTTATAAGTGGTCACTATTCTTTTATTGGCTCTAATACTTTTTATTGATGCTGAGGCTGTTCAGATGGACCAGTTGTTCTCCAAAGCCACAAGGAGGCTTTGGCTTTTACAAAAGGGCACTGCTGGCGGGGCCAGGGACACCGGACTTACTGCAGTGCTTAGGACAGTCTCCCAATCAGCGTTCAAGTGTCCCGTCAGAATTCATGTGGTGAGACACGTGTTTATAGCCACGAGACTTGAACACTGCTGAAAACAGCAAGGTTAGCAAGCATCCTTTCTTGAGGTTTTAATAGTCTACCATCTTAAAGCAGTGTTCTTTGAGACCTAGTATTAATGATTCTATGTGGAACAAAGGTGCAATTTTATCAAAAGTCTTTTTGACAACTACTGAAATCATCAAACTGTTTTTCTTCTTTGATGTGCTACTGTGGTGGGTTATATTAATATATTCCCTAATGTTGAGCCATTCTTTCAATCTACAAATAAACTCTATTTGCTCACACAGTATTATTTTTCCAAGGTACTGTCAGAGTCAATATATTAATATTTTATACAGAATTTCTTCTTCTATATAAGTGAGATTGATCTACAAATTTTTTGTCTTGTCAGATTCCTCTGTGAGGGTTATAGTTCTTTCAATAATTAACCAATAAGCATTTTCTTCTTTTAATGCTCAAGGAAACAATTTGTTCCTGAAAGTTTTGATAAAACTCACCTGTAAAAACCACCTTGTGAAGGGACAGTTCTTTGATAACTTTTAATTCCTTCCATGGTAATGGGTCTATTCAGGCTTTCTTCTTCAGTCAATTTTGATAAATTATATTTGCCTATAAAATGATCCATTCCATCAAGATGTTCAATTTATTAGCACAGATAAACCCAGAATTAAAATTAAAATCTTCTCAGTATCTGATTATATTCCCATTATTTCTAAATGTAAGCTTGTTTTCTTCACTACCTTTGCCAGAGGTTTATTTATTTTAGTGGTCTTTTTAAGGAACCAGCTTACGGCTTATCAATTCTATTATTTTTAATTCATTAATTTCTATATTTACCTATCTCCTTTCTCTCTTTTCTTTTTTTGCTATTCATTTTCTAGCTACTTGAGTTGAATGCTTAAATGATTTCTACTATAATTTATTTAGTAAAAGTAGTTTTTATGACTTTATTTTTTTGACACTTTGTCTACTATGTCCTTTATTATGAGTTTCAGATACAGTATTCTCGTTGTGAATGATTGCTAAATAATCCACAAATGCGTTTTTAATTTCCATCTTATTCCAATTATTTACAAGGGTCCTCTCCCCCTGGGAGTCCCATATTTGACAAACTTGTTATGAGTTTCTAGTTTTATATAAAAGTGCTAATTCAATAAGTGAAAATCCAAAGGCATGTTTTAGGAAAACTGGTACTTATTCAATTTTGACATTTAACCTAAAGAAACACAATAAAACAAAGATAACTTCCTAACAGGATTATACACCTGAATCTTTTAAGATTATTTTCCCTTTCAAAGCTTTTATAAATGTATACTGAGATATTTTCTTTTTTTTCTTCACTGAGATATATCCCATGCAATGTCTGTGCAAAGAAAAAAACTCACACTAAACAGAGTAAGATTAAATGTATTAAATAAATTGTAGCCCTAAGACTGTAAACACAGTGTCTGACCAATTACTGTCTCAACCTCAGCTCACCCGCAGCGGCAAGCCAAACAGAACTCATGTAACAGAAGGCCCGGCCCAACCCCTCCTTACATTACTTGTTTCCTCGTAATTCAGTGAAAAGACCATACGCCTCACTGCCTGTGTGATTCTTATAGTATAAAATAAGATGTTGGCTAATTATCTCCCACAATATGGGGATAAAAGCCGCCCAGCCCACCATGGCGTCCGTAACAGTGTGACAGATACCTGATTCGATCACTCGTCCCACTGTAGCCCCAACGGCTCTCTACTTGCTGGAACCTATTGATGCAACATTCCTTTCCGCGGAGGCAGCATCTTGGTCGATCAATGTAGTCTACTCGGGGTTTAGGATTGACAGTAAAGTGAAGAAAAAGATTTACCACTTCACGATCTGACAAAATTCCAGACTGAGCAGGACCTGTAGAAATACAAATAAAATCCATTTGAGGTTAACCTAATAAAACGTACATGTTAAAATCATTAATAAATCAAAGCTTCGATGAAAGCCTGGATTTTTCTATCCACTCCCCTCTTCTGAGTACCACAGACTTTCGTTTACCAGAAAGAGTCATTCCCTATGGGTAGCGCGAGCCAATGTTACTTCTCTGTTCCCCACTAATACCTGTCTAAAGTTATAATCTGAACAATGGAATATATTTAGAAGTGGAAATAGGATAGTGCTTTCATTCTGGGGTTCAGAAATTAGCAGAGGGCAGGAGCTAAAATGGGAAGAGCTGGGGAAGCCGCATATCATATATCTTATGGTTTCCCCATACAATGTTTCTGAGAACAGAGAAATTCCAAACAGTTTCAACTTATCCAAGAATAAATAAAGGCTACTCCTCATAAAAGAGGCCAGGAGATCCCTCCCAAGGCTGGTTAAAAACAATCTAAATGAGACTACAAAACTAAATTATAAATTTTTAAACTATAAAAAAAATTTGATAAGCTAGAAATTTGGTTTAGGAAGCCATAAATTCAGATTTTAATGAAAAACCCTGATTTTTAAACATTGCTAATGTTTCCAAAGAACTAACAATAAGAAGTAAGATGTCATAATTCAAGACTATAATAAAATTTCCTTTGTTGAAAAAAGTCTTCAGATCATGAAAAACATTCTCAGACATGTACCAGATACCTACCTAAAGAAAGTTATCGGAGACTCAGGCTAGTTAACAGAGAGTGAGTCAAAATAAACAACTTAAGAAATTTTGTCCTAGAAGAACTGGTGATGAGCACTAAAAGCAAAACAACCTAGAACGATGTCTAATATAGTAATTGCATTGTTGTAGTATAGAGAGAAAGAGAGAGTGGGGGAAAGAAAGAGAGAGAGAGAGAATGAGAATAATCAGGTACCATAAAGTGGTTTGGAAAGGCTGAAAGTAAGAACACACCATCCTAACATTCTTGTTTTAAATAGGGAAGGTCAATAAATATTGTTTTATTATGAAATAGAGACCCAGTGCACAAAATTCATGTGGGGGGTGGGGGGTCACCCCTCAGGCCAGCCTGCACCCTCTCCAATCTGGGACCCCTGGGGGATGTCCAACTGTTGGTTTAGGCCCGATCCATTCTACAGGCTTCTTAATATTTTTGGTAGTCAAATAATTCATTTCCCCAAATTATCTCTCTATTTCTAAAAATGTTTTTATGGAGAATTTCCAGCAGTTGGACATCCCTCTCATAATCTTGGACCACTGGCTCCTAATTGCTCACCTGCCTGCCAGCCTGGTCGCCCCTAACTGCCCCCTCCTGCCAGCTTGATCGCCCTTACTGTCTCTGTGTGCTGGCCTGATCACCTCTAACTGCCCTCCCTGCTGGCCTGGTCGCCCCCAACTGCCCCTCCCTGCCGGCTTGGTCACTCCTAACTGCCCCCCCCCCGGCCTGGTTGCCCAAATACAATATCAGCCTTCAGGTGTTATGAAAATAGAAGATTTGGCTTTGTTATTAATTCTTTTCACTATAGCTTTGTATTTAAATTTTGATTCATCACAAATATTTAATAATATTTTCCAAATTTTCAGTAGCCTTGAATGAACATTTTGAGACCCAGTACTAAAGTTACTTGCTCTATGCCATGTGGTTAATTATTTAAAATACCAGAGGCCCGGTGCACGGCCTGGTCACCCCACGCAGCCTGCTTGTTTAGTCGTTTGGTCATCCCTCACTAACCTCCCCTGCTGGCCTGGTCGTAGGCAGCCATCTTTGTGAGGGTGTGAGGGTTAATTTGCATATTACCTCTTTATTATATAGGATGGAAAATTAAGAAAATTGAGGGGGGGGAACGCAAATGTGTAATTTCCAAATGTCTAGATAGAAAAGAAAGCACACACAATAGCAAAATAGAGAAAATAAAGGAAACTCTCCATAAAAACATTTTTAGAAATAGAGAGATAATTTGGGGAAATGAATTATTTGACTACTAAAAATATTAAGAAGCCTGTAGGATGGAACAGCCTATGCCAGAGAACTATGGATAAAATACATACAATAGCTACTTCAAGTAAACAAAGAACTGAGGCAGTCAGTGCTTGAGAAGGGAAATATATTGAGAAGCTCTGTATCTGTCACCACTTTCTCCCCTTGGGATACTTGCTGATTTGCTTCATGGGGCATAAATGCCAAGGAGAAACTGGCAACCTAGAAACTATGGCAGGCCCCATTTGACTGAGGAGACAAAAATTGGAATTCAAACCAAATGATTTCATAGAAAGAATCGAATAGAGAGACAAGACCAACATTTTGTGCAAAATTTCTGTATTTGCTGATTCCTAAGATATGCACAAACAAGAGGAATCTGAGACAAAAAAAACCAAGCAGAAAGAAGCTGCTAAGAGACTAAAGAGTTACACAGAGCCCAGCCAGCATACTCAGTGGTTGCACATCAACCACGGTTCGATTCCCGGTCAGTGCACATGACTGAATTGCGGGCTCGATCCCCAGTGTGGGGGGTATGCAGGAGGCAGCCAATAAATGATTCTCTCTCATCATTAATGTTTCCATCTCCCTCCCCCTCTCCCTTCCTCTCTGAAATAAAAAAATATTTAAAAAAATAGTTACATAGAAATTTCAGGTGTTTTATAAGCATTATAACCTTGAGCAAAGTACTTAACCACTCTCAAGATCAGTTGTCTAACCCATAAAACACATACTTTTTAAATATATTATAAATATATGTAAAATTTAAGATATATAGTATCTATATAATAAAGGACTAAGTGACTGTTACAGCTAACGAAGTCTCTATGATGCGCACTGATCACTAGGGACAGACCCTCAATGCAGGAGCTGCCCCCTGGTGGTCAGTGCACTCCCACAGTGGGAGCTCTGCTCAGCCAGAAGCCGGGCTCACAGCTGGTGAGCACAGCAGTGGTAGTGGGTGCCTCTCCCGCCTCTATGGCAGCACTAAGGAGCAGCAAGCCGAATGGTAAGGAGCAGCGAGCAGGTGGGCGGTAAGGAGCGAGGGGTCCCGGACTGCGAGAGGCAAGTCAGACATCCCCTGAGGGCTCCCGGACTGCGAGAGGGTGCAGGCCAGGCTGAGGGACCCCCCCCACCTCTCGGTGCATGATTTTCCTGCACCGGGCCTCTAGTAACCTATAATATTATCTTAAAGGGCTATGAGGAGAATTATATAAAATTATAAACACAGACACACATACATATATCATGTAACTGGAAGAGTGACCAGTCCTCAGTAATTAATAGCTTATTTTCCTCTCTCACACAGGGAGACTGGCTGACTAACCATTAAAACAGTTTCTAATAGAGTTTGATCACCCTGGCTTGTTTGGCTCAGTGGATAGAGTGCCAGCCTGCAGACTGAAGGGTCCCAGATTCAACTCTGGTGAAGGGCACATGCCAGGGTTGCGAGCTCGATCCCCAGTGGGGGGGGTGTGCAGGAGGCAGCCAATCAATGATTCTCTCTCCCTCTACCTTCCTCTCTGAAATCAATAAAAATATATTTTAAAAAATTAGACTTTGCTCAAGTTATGCCTTACCCGCTGCAAACTCCTCAATGGTCATCAGTGGGAACCGGATCAAGGACAGTGCTTTTCCTAGAACTTTCTGTTTGTTTTCAAAACTCACAGGCAACTGTTGTCTTTGACATTCTGCTTCTGACCATCGTACAATAGCTCCAAAAAGCCGACTTTCTCTAATACTAAGTGTGTCTCTTTCCAGAACTGCGCAGAGTGTGTCTACAGGTAAAAAAACATAAAAATAAGTGAGGAATATCTTGCTCTATAGCAAAACAATACAGACCAACTTGCTTATATTAAGTTGTCAAATCTCAATAAAAATAGGTGATACTTAAAACTATAGACTCTATACTTTCTTTTTTTAAACTATATTCTGCAATGATCTACGCATTCATTGTAGAACCAAGTATTTGTTTAACATAACCTGCCTTGCCTTTCCCTTCCTTTACACATGTCTTCATGTGGTACTTCTTGCCTCTCATGGCCTCCCCTCTTCCTTATACAAACAGTCACTATCAGGACCTCCTCTGTCAAGATTTTCCTAACCTCTTCATGTTTTGAATTTCCATTGTAATTATTTTCTATATATCTAGTTCAGGAAAGGCAAAAAAAAAAATATCACATTTCATCCTTTGCCATCTCTTCTATTAATGTCTTAAATCTTAACTTTCACATATTTGTTTCCTTGATTCTCCAACTAGATGATAGTTTTCTTAAGAAAAATTGTATCTTACCTGTCTTTGTAATTCTTTTTTTTTTTACAGGACCCTAGTATAATGCCATGCATATGTGAACAGTCAATGAATATTTATTTGCTTTGACATCTTTTAAAAGGCAGTGGGGTAGTTAAGACTTTTAGGAATATCTCACCAAAATAAAGAAAGTAAAATTCTTAAAGGGGTAGACATAAATCATTTAGAAAAAAACACCTAATCAAAAAACAGCTCGTCCACCAAGGCTGACTGGTAAGGCATTAAGTACTTACAGGTAAAATGTAATTACGCGTGAACTTACCTATATCGATATCAGTAAACCCTTCCGCACTTATTGCATCCATCGTGCTTTTGTCTATTGTATCTAGACAAAGACTAGCAAGCTGAGGTTCATCAAATAGTCGCGCCTAAACATATAAAACCACAATTATTTTGTTTCCATAATTTCTTTATCTTCAGGCTGTGCATATTAAAAGTTAATACTATAAACAGTTGTAATTGCTGATCATGTAAAAACACCTACTTAAAATATAGTTACATCTATATATTCTTCAAACTTTTCATTCCACAATCAGAAATGAAAAGCTAAAAGAACAAGTGTCTTGCTGAGATAACAAATTCACATCACCACTACCAGCCTTGTTATCTGTATTTTCATATGCTTATGTATACACTGCCTACTTTCTTATGCACTACTTATTTTAATCCTTAATGAACGCCCTATGCCACATAAGGGAGACATTTTTATCCCATCTACCAGATGAGGACACAGAGGCTCAGAGGGGTGTTCTGACTTGCCTTATAAATATGAAGCTAGTTATATTGCAAAGCTAGTATGTAAAGCCACATTTTAAAAAAAATATTTTTTATTGATTCAGAGAAGGAGAGAGAGGGAGAAAGAGATAGAAACATCAATGATGAGAGTGAATCATTGATTGCCTGCCTCCTGCATGCGGTGTTCTGACTTGCCTTATAAATATGAAGCTAGTTATGTTGCAAAGCTAGTATGTAAAGCCACATTTTTAAAAAATATATTTTTTATTGATTTCAGAGAAGGAGAGAGAGGGAGAAAGAGATAGAAACATCAATGATGAGAGTGAATCATTGATTGCCTGCCTCCTGCATGCGCCCCACTGGGGATCGAGCCCGCAACCCGGGCATGTGCCCTTGACAGAATCAAACCTGGGACCCTTCAGTCTGCTAGGGCTAAAGCCACATTTTTTATGATCTTTTCACTAAACAATAATATCAACTTTGGTCAAGCATACTGGTACAAACAGACCAGATTTTTTTCCCCCTTTTCCTGTTTTGATTAGTGGAAGAAAATAAAGTACAAGAATTTTAGAGCATGGAAGCTCTGGGAACCTGAGTGGGGCAAAGGGGGTCAATGGGGAGGGGAATGGGGACATCTGTAATACTTTCAACAATAAAGAAACAACAACAGAAGAGCAAGTAAATAAATTCACATACTTTAATGATGGAATTTATACAACGAGAATGAAAAGCTACAACTTCTCATAACAATATGACTGAATCCCACAAACTTAATGATAAAAGAAGCCACAATATATATTGAACAAAACAGTAGAGACTGCATGATTCCAGCAAAGCTAATCTAGGCTTTTAAAAGTCAGAAGTTGCCCTAGTTGGCTCAGTGGCTAGAGTGTCGGCCTGCGGACTAAAGGGTCCCGGGTTCAATTCTGGTCAAGGGCACATGCCCGGGGTTGTGGGCTTGATCCCCAGTGGGGGGCATGCAGGAGGCAGCCAATGAGTGATTCTCTCTCATCATTGTTGTCTCTCGCTCCCTTTCCCTTCCTCTCTGAAATCAATAAAAATATATTTTTTAAAAAGTCAGAAGTCAAGATTATATGTGTTTTATCAGGATGCATATTATACATTTTTTTAAAGTTAAAAAGCTGGAGGGACAGGGAGTGAAATCTAAACTCAAGTGATATTTTTAAAAGCCGTAACACTGAAAAAGGACATGTGATGATCGTATGCCAGTCTTTCATCCTGACCTAGCGTCAGCTGTCAGCTGTTGAACTGAACAGCATGGACAAACACCAGATGCTCAGAGGTGCTCATGCTGGATGATGCAGAAACCTGCTGAGAAGGCTGCCAATTAGTTAGCCACACCATAAATGACACCATTATTTGGTGTAGCTGATGACTCTTCATTTAATTTTAAAGTAAAATTCATTTTCAAAGGATTCAATAACTCAGATGCTACTGAACAAATGAATCACATCTCTAAGCTAAAAAGTTATCTGTGGTTTAAGGGGCAGAAATGAATACATTAAACACACTGGCTTAAATTTTAAATATATCTCTAATATATGATTCATAATTTTATTTACAGTGGGGCCTTGACTTACGAGTGTCCCTACTAACGAGTTTTTCTGAGATACGAGCCGTCTCTTGGCCGATTTTTTTGCTTTGAGTTGCAAGCTAAAATTCGGGTTACATACGAGCCAGCTTCAGATACCCCACCGCTAGTTGGCGCAGCGAACGTCACAGTGATTTGACATAGGAGTAATCTGAGTTACGAGCTCCATCACGGAACGAATTAAACTCATAAGTCAAGGCCCCACTGTATATAAATATAAACATATATTTTTAATCAGTAGAAGATTTCTTGAAGTTATAGAATATTCAAATATGTTTATAAATCCTCTTCTTAGATTATATACCAAGTCTGTTTACATTAATTTGCTTCGTCAAAGTTTTAATAAATTTTAGCCCTAAATAGAAACACAAATATGTATAATAAAATAAATTATGTATATGTGTACACATACATGGGATGATAATGTCTACCTTATGTAACCTAGAGGGTTCATTAATGATCAAAATAAGTAATGCATTAGAAAGGAGGCTATGTATATTACATATACGTGTATGTTTATACATAAGGGGGGGTGTCTGGCCCATCTATATATATAAAAGCTTATTATGCTAAGTGTCCTACCGATCAGTTGACCGTTTGGTCGACCACTTGACCAGTCGCTATGATGTGCACTGACCGTGAGGGGACAGACGTTCCAACTGGTAGGTAGGTTACTTTGCTGCTGGGGTCCGGCCAATCGGGACTGGGCAAGTGGGCCGGACATGCCCTGGAGCCCTCCTGTGGCCCCTATCGGCTTGATCGGGATTGGGCGAGACAGCCCCGAATTTGTGCACCAGGCCTCTAGTTTTATAATAAATTACATGCATCATAACTCTTACCCTTAAACACATCAGTGTGTATTTCCTAAGAATAAGGATATTCTGTTATTAGAGCTAACTTTGGTAAATAACAATACAATATTTTTATCCTACTACCTGTATTCATTTTTTGTCAACTGACCCAGTGATCTTTTTTTACAGCACTTTTCCTTCTAGTGTAGGATCCTGCCTTAGGATCACAGTTCATGTATTTAAAAATATAAAAAAAAGACAGTACATTTTTAACAATTAAAATTCTAATATGAGCAAATATTTTAAATGGCGAACTCAACTGTATTTTCAGTGTTCATGCAAAAATTCATCTTTCACTCTAGGAAAAACAAGTTTTTGTAAAAATTACTTTAACTAGACTAGCAATACTTCAGCCACTCAGATTATACAGGCAGCATCAATCTCCTAGGGAATCCATTACTGCTACTTAAGAGTCTGGCATGATCTCTGGTAAACATCACTGTGATCCTATCACTTCATCATAAGTGTTTTCCCTGTGCAAACCATGCTGGCACAATACACTGGCCCTTTGTGTTGGAGCGAAGCTGGGTCTTTTCCAGTAAATGAACCGGCTCAGTTCAAATGACTCACTTGGCAGGAACAAGAAGCTCACATGATAGTTTGCTGGATAATTCACATGACCCCACCAATGAAAAATGTGGGTAACATTGGGCTCTCAGACAAACAAGGCACTGAAAAGGCCCTTTTCTGTCCTGCGGCAATCTTTGTCCGCCCTTGCTGCTCAAAGTGTGGTCCAGAGACACTAGCATCTTCCGGAAGCCGTTAGAAACACAGCCTCTCAGGCCCCACCTCTGAGAGTCTGCTGAAAATAAATGCAATTTACTTCCTATTGTACTTACTGAACTAGCAAGTCTGTTTTAATTATCAAAGTTTAATTGATTGGTTTCTGAACTTTATGATTGAAGTTTTAAAATAAAGAAGTTAAGTGATCGTCTCTACACATAAAAACCCTTGGACCCAACAAAAATTTAGATGTCCAAAAAACTCTCTCACCCACAGCTGGAGCCACGCCAGACCCTAATCCCAACCCCAGTCCTGAAGAGCACATAACTTTGAGTCACAGCACCCTATACTCATGATAAGGCTTCAGTTTCTTTCTTTCTCTTTTTTTCTTAAATGTTTTTATTTTTATTGATTTCAGAGAGGAAGGGAGAGGGAAAGAAAGATAGAAATATCAATGATAAGAGAATCATTGATTGTCTGCCTCCTGCACACCCCTTATTGGGGGTCGAGCCCACAACCCGGGCATGTGCCCTTGACTGGAATCGAACCTGGGACCCTTCAGTCCACAGGCCGACACTCTATCCACTGAGCCAAACCAGCTGGGGAGGCTTCAGTTTCTTTACCTATATGTTACTTTATTAACTCTAATTGCTTTTCTACTGTGAAATCATATAAATCTGCTATATTTCCCTGAATGGTAATATAAGAACAATTACATATACTTTAAGAGAATGATCTAGAGCCCAGTGGGTGTGGCTCATGGTTGAGCATCGACCTATGAAACAGGAGGTCAAGGTTTAATTCCTGGTCAGGGCATAAGCCCCATTGTGAGCTCGATCCCCATTGTGGGGCGTGCAGGAGGCAGCCGATCAATGATTCTCTCTCATCGTTGATGTTTCTATCTCTCTCTCCCTCTCTGAAATCAATAAAAATATATTTTAAAAAATAATGATCTAGAACTAATTCATCAGGGAATACTAAATATTCACATACAGTCAAACCTCGTTTTTCAAACCTCTCCCATCTCAAACAATTCAGTTCTCAACCAAGTTGTTCATAGACAAAAATGTCTCAGTTGTCGACCAAAACTTCAGTTTTTGACCTGACAACGCTTTCATGCTGATACCTCAGCAGGACAAAAAGCGTCTAGCAGGCAACAAGCAAAGGAGAGAATGCTTTCGTTGCTGGCGATTAGCACAATCTTAAAACATAAAGAGGCCATCCAGAGTGCTAATGTTGCTAAGGGTGTGAAAATGCTCACAAAACAACAATCACAGGCACTTCAATAGCTAGAAAAACTGTTGTTGATTGGGTAAATGAAAAGCAGTGCATTTCTGAGGCAGTGATCGATGAAAAATTCCTTTAAGGCTGTGGTTGGATAAATTTAAAAAGTGTTTACTTATAAACTAGAGGCCCGATGGGGGTGGTTGGATAAATTTAAAAAGTGTTTACTTATAAACTAGAGGCCCGATGCACGAAATTCATGCAAGGGGCTCAACCCTTGAAGCCCTGGCTGCCTCGGCCCTCACAGCGTTGGCTTTGTCTGGAAGGTCATCTGGACGGTCATTCTGCTGTTCGGTCTAATTAGCATATTAGCTCTTTATTATATAGGATTAAACAGTACATTAGACATGTACTGTATATAAGAAAGGTTGAAACAGGGAATCATTTGGGAGCCTGGAACGGATTAATTCAATTTACATGATTTCTAATGGGGAAAAATGATTCTGTTTTTGAACAAATCACTTCTCAAACAGCCTTCTGAAATGAATTCAGTTTGAGAAACGAGGTTCCACTGTATAGTTACACTCAATTTTTCAAGCTCCAATAGTACATCCCTTAGTCACATGGACTTACCTGAGTAAGTAACATAAAGGCATTATCTGCTCTAAGGTGTTTGGTGAGAAATTCCACACAGTGTGCTTCCAAGGCTGGGACTGCGTATTTCTTAGCAGTATACAGAGTGGTCATAACTGTTTCCGGGCCAATTTGAACTTCGTCTGAATACAGAAATCTGGAAAGCAAGGGGAAATTGCAGAGCTGGTCAGTAAGGTTTTCGATAAGCAATCCACCAACGTTAAACCTCCGAGGAATAGGTTTAAAAGACGATGAGCAAACTGGAAACCTGAAACGTGCATCAGACTTTACAGGGCTACAGGGCCCTTGTACACACATCGTCTCCTTTATTCTTACCCAATCCTGAGAGGCAGGGCATCTCCCCAAATCCTGAGACAGACCCCTATCTCTAAGCCAAATTTCCAGTTAACACCTCATAGCAGCTTTGGGTGACGTGATTCACTTATTTCTCCTTCATCAAAGTGTGTTCACTTAAGCAAATCTACAGAGAGCGGAAGTTCACATCTCTAAATGTCAAAATATTCGTTTCCAGATTGTGGTGTTTTCTTATTCTGGGCATCTTTTAACCTTTTCCTTTTTATACCAGAGTTAGCATTATGATCAAGACTAGAGTCCTGGGGCTTTGGAGGAATAAAACAATTTAATAATATCTTAAATATTGCTAGGTGCTGTGGGATATTTAGACCCAATTTCGTCTCAAAATACAATCAGACCAATACTGCCTTCCTCCCAGTTTGCTGCCTGTAAAGGCTAGGTCACTAAATAAATCAGCTACAGCCCTAGCCGATTTGGCTCAGTGGATAGAACATCGGCCCTCAGATTGAAGGGTCCTGGGGTCAATTCTGGTCAAGGGCACACACCTTGGTTGCAGGCTCGCTCTGATCCCTGGCCCTGGTCAGGGCACATGCGGAAGGCAAACAATAGATATGCCTCTCTCACATCGATGTTTCTCTCTCTCCCTTCCAGACTCTCTAAAAAAAAACACAAAAAACAAAAACAAACAAAAAAACAATGGAAAAATATCCTCGGGTGAGGATTAACAAAAATAAAAAAAATAAAGTAAAATCAGCTCTACAGAACTGAGGATAAATGTAAGATTCTCAGGGAAGGCCTGGTGGTTCTTGCTGAGGCTATCTGAGCTTTTACATTTGAACTTCCGGCCCCCTCTGTGGCTCCTCAGAGAGCCCCGTGCTGACTGTCAGTTCTCAGCTACACTCAGAATAGCTGGGGCTGCTGGGGGAGAATGGCATTCAGAACTAGCGTTTCACTGGAGTGATACTAAAGGCTTCCAACACTTACTAGACCTGTACTCCCCGGACCCAAGTCATAAAGCATGTGTTTAAGAAACCCATCCTTTCAGAGCAGTCTATTACCGTGAAGGCGTGAGGAAAGTTAAGTTCTATTTCATGTCCCTGTCCCCTCTACCTTTCGATTACCTCTACTTTTATTCCTGTGGCCGTAATCACCACCCAAGATGAAACCCTCGCCTGGTCCATCCCCTAACTTCTCACCCTAACCAAATGCTGGCATTTCTCTAATAATACCACATCCTTATAACAGAGAGTGGAGGCTGCTCATTCTCATGCTCCCCTAAATCTCAAGTTCAAAAGTGAAAGTTGCTGTTTTTCAGGATTACACTGTTTCCAAAGCCTCCTTGTAGAGACTCAAGTCAGGCATCCGTATCACCATCCTAACACTCACCTAACGTCACTGCCACACTCTGGGATGAGGACGGGAATTAAAAACCAAGCAAGGCACAGCCACTCATAGCCAGGGACAAAGAGATGGATAAAAAGAGAGGAAATTAGCCCTAGTCCATTTGCTCAGTGGATAGAGCGTTAGCCTGCGGACTGAAGGGTCCCAGGTTTGATTCCGGTCAAGGGCACATGTCCAGGTTGTGGGCTCGATCCCCGGTGGGAGGCATGCAGGAAGAAGCCCAATCAATGATTCTCTCTCATCACTGATGTTTCTATCTCTCTCCCTCTCCCTTCCTCTCTGAAATCTATATATATATTTTAAAAATCTATACAGAATTTGACCGCTTCTCATCAGATCCATCCATTTCTACAACCCTGGTAGGGCCTACCATCATCTCTTGCCTGGACGACTGCAGAAGCCTTGAAATCAATAAAAATATATATATTTTAAAAATCTATGCAAAATTTGACCGCTTCTAATCAGATCCATCCATTTCTACCACCCTGGTAGGGCCCCACCATCATCTCTTGCCTGGACAACTGCAGAAGCCCCTTCATTCAACTCCCTGCTGCCCATCTGACACCTCTCCGGTCTAATTTAATTTCTAAGCAACTGCCAGAGTGAGTTTCTAAAAATGTAAATCAGATCAGAGCACTCCCTCTCTCAAGGCTTTTCACCACACACCAGATGAAACTCAAAGTCCGCACACAGGCTCGGCGGCCCCGCAGGTCCTGGCCAGCCCGTCTTTTTCACCTTACCTCCCACCACTTTCCCTGTTGTTCATTCTGCTCAAATCGCACTGCTTCACTCTTGCTGCTCCTCCAACAGGAGACATTTAGGGCTTTCCCTTGCTTGGCAAGCTCCTTCCCTAGTGGGTTGGTCACTTTTTCTTCAAAACACTTATTAGTGGTTGACATGTGTCTTTGTTTCTCCCTAGTGGAGTATAAGCTCCACGAGGGCAGGACTTTTGCTTGCTCACTGCTGTATCCCACATCTAAAACAGTGACCGGCCCAGGGCAGGCACACAGTATTTCTCAAATGAACAACTGAAAAACATCACTGACACGGGTCAGGCAGATCAAACTGAGCAGTTTCTTCAAGTGCTTCAAACTCAAGTTCCAAAGCCTTCAACGTTAACTAATTCAAGCTGTAAACATAATAAAAAAGTGTGCTCAAGCTAACCTGCTGGCCAGGGTGAGGGGCCAAGGGCAGTTGGCTGGCCGGCCTGGTCCCCTGGTCAAACTCCCGGTCGAAGGAACAATTTGCATATTAGGCTTTTATTATATAGGACTAGAGGCCCGGTGCACAAAAATTTGTGCACTGGGCACTTGGGAGGGTCCCTCAGCCCAGCCTGTGCCCTCTCGCAGTCTGGAACCCCTCGGGGGATGTCCACCTGCTGGCTTAGGCCTGCTCCCTGGGGGATTGTGCCTAAGCTGGCAGTGATACATCCCTTGGGGGATGTCCACTTGCCAGCGGGCCGAAGCTGCAGTTGAACATCCATAGAGCTGCTGAGGAGGCAGGAGAGGCTCCCACCATCGCCGCTGTGATGCCGTCAGCCTGGCTTGTGGCTGAGCAGAGCTCCCCCTGTGGGAGTGCACTGACCACCAGAGGGCAGCTCCTGCATTGAGCATCTGCCCCCTGGTGGTCAGTGTGTGTCATAGTGACTAGTCATTCCCAGTCGTTCTGCTGTTAGGGTCAATTTGCATATTACCCTTTTATTATATAGGATACTTTACATGTTAATGTTATTACCTAGTCTTCATAAGTATTATATGGTAGCTGCACTAGTTCTGTTAAATGAACCTATTAGCTAAGCATTCCCTCCAGTTGACTACTTCCTCAGTACTCTAAATAATCCTGCTGTAAATATTTCAGTACAGAACATTTTTTCAGCACTTGAATACTTCCTAGGTGTGGAAGAAGAATCTACAGTGCCAAACTTTTACCCCCAGCTTTTTTTTTTTTTTTTTATACCACCAGCTTTGTCTGAGAGGGTTCCTCCAATGTTGTATTTTTAAAATTTGGAGGTTTATGGGAGGTTGGGTGAAAAAAGTGACAGGATTAAAAAGTACAGCTGGTTTGGCTCAGTGGATAGAGCGTTGCCTTGCGGAACAAAGGGTCCCGGGTTCAATTCCGGTCAAGGGCGCATACCTTGGTTTCAGGCTCCTCCCCAGCCAGCCAGGGGCCCTGTTCAGGGCACCCAGGGCTCGTGCAGGAGACGACCAATCAATGTGTTTCTCTCACATCAATATTTCTCTCTGTCTTCCCCTCTCTCTTCCACTCTCTCTCTAAAAATTGATGGAAAAATATCCTCAGTTGAGGATTAAAAATAAGTTAAAAATAAAAAAGTACAGGTTGGCAGTCACAAAATAATCACAGGGATGTAAAGCACAGCACAGGGAAGCCTATATAATAAAAGTGTAATATGCAAATCGACCGAACGGTGGAACGACCAGTCGGTGGGGGGCGGGGCCAGTGAGCAGGTGGTGCCAGGCCAGCGGAGGCACATGCCAGCGGGCAGAGGGAG